ACAAATCCATCACATAAAAATGTTATTACTTGCTAAATAGCCTTAACAGGAATGTAATACCATATATTCTGTTAAGCAAGCAAGTTATCCATACAAGAAGGTTACCAAGTTCATACCTATTGGTTATGATTTACATATCCAATTTATCTTTGTCATGTGTTTTTATATGTTACATGTTTTAAATTTTTGCTTCTGCTGTATTGTATTATTTTTGTTTTTATTCTTGATACAAGATTTCTCAATTACATATATGCAATTAAAACAGTTAAACACGCAATTTTCCTTGGCAGGAAAATAAAGTATAGTGTGAAACATACATGTACAAGGTATCACTAACATCTTCATTAATATTTTTAAATAACCCAGAGTTGGATCAGTGCTAGGAGAAATGTTCTGCTGAAGCAAGACAGAAACATCCCAGGACTTGCTGGCCTCCCAAGTAGCAAATTTTTGGTAGCTGATTTTTGGTAGGGATTTTCTTCATTCTGAAGCAAATGAAAAGATTCTTCCCATTTCAGAAATAAAATCCATATTTGCAGCTGAATCTGCAATTCAGGCAATGCAACAGCACCCTACAATACCCTTGAGGGATACTTTCCAAAATAGGTGTTATAGGATAGACTACATCCTATAACACATAGCTTTGCCCTCCCAGTACCTCACAGATAGTCTGCATTCCCCCAAATTGCCTACGTGCGGGGGCCGCTTCACTATTTCTAATTATAATCTGGCCTCTTTTCTGAAGTTTCAGCTTCAGTGAGTACAGGAAAAATAAGAAAAATAAATTGGCTGTCTCTTGGAAAGAAAAGTGCTTTTTGTTAGGGGAGGGTGCAAAAGACTTGCAGAAGCAAACAATCTAGAACTCCATAAACAGCACAAGTAAAGGTAGTTCTCAAATTACTTTAATCCAAGTCATGTCATATCCAATGTGCATTCATAGTGTCCCAACAACCACCTTTTGTAGCATGCCATAACTCTAAGTAGACTAGGACTTCACAGAAACCCAAACCTCAGTTTTGTCCACTGTCTGCTATGAAAAGTTGTTCAGAATATTCCATACTATCTTGAGATCTGGGCTTAGCTCAATCTAAATATGTTCCATAGTTTTTGTTAGTACAAAGCCATCCTTGGATAGATCTTATTAAAAAAGATCTTATTAATAGATCTTATTAGAAAAGGAAAACAACAACAGTGGCAGATATTTGCGGCTGTTTTTGCTCAAAGACATTTGTATATAGCTTGTGTTGTATGAATATTGCATTATTCCTTTTTGTTTCAATCTTTAAAGGATTACCATTTAAGAAAATGAACCAAGTTAAAGAATATAAGGTTCTTTTTGCCTAAAGCTGTAGAAAAACATGCTTGTATTAGTAGAGTAGACAGGGTTGGTAGCTCCAGTTTTTTTAGAAGTTTTTAGATCCAAGTTTCTGTCAGACTTGAGTCAACACTGTCAATCTCCGTAGATGACAAGACCTAAATGGCCACAGCTTGCCAGATCCTGCATTAGCACAAAACCACCACTGGAGACAGTCCAATCAATTTATTATCCCAGTGCACTCCTGTTCTATTTCTTCTCTCTACTCATTCCTTAAGAATGAATTGACCAATACTTGAATAATTTGCAACAAAATTGGTTCAGGAGCATTCAGAAATATTGCCTGCATATAAATTAATTCTCCCAGCTTTTTTTTACATATTTATTTATCAGAATCTTTACTGGTAGACAAGAAATGAATTTTTTAACTGAACTTGCTATCCTTTGTTCACTTTGTCAATTTCATCTTATCAGGATACAATCTTGTTATGTTGAAATTACTTTTGCAATATGTACTTACACCCTGTCTGCTTCCATCTAGTTTAACTTGTGAAATGCTGACATTTCCGGTAGTGTGCATTACTCCACCCATTACCACAAGATATATATATATATAAAAAAAAAGGACTGAGCCACATACAAAAACAGATTTCATGCAGTTTCAGTCAGAGGGAATTGTAGTTTGTGTACTGTCAAAACTCTGCAAGCACAATTAAAACAGACTGAATGCTGTAACCATTTTTTCCTGAAAAGAAAAAAAAATCTCTAAATTCTTTCCTCCTAATGAAAATTACTGCCAACTCTTACACAAAACTGCTACATTTGTGAGAACACATTCAAAATGGGACTAATTTTACTTATCAAAAACATGAGCATTCACTCATGTATTCATTCTTCCTTATATAAAAAAGGAATAAGGTAGAGTCAAACTTAACAAATGGCTACTAGAGATAAATAATCCTTGGTTTCCACCAAAAATGTATACAAGTGGAATACTACTGTGGACATTCTTCTTGTAAAAGAGGAAAAAGTGGTATTTACAGATTCTACTTTTTTTCTACAGTACCCATTCAGATGACTTCAGAATTTTAAAAAATGTTTCAGAGCTAACACAGGAGACACAGACAAACTTCTCTCTTCTGGCAGCAAAACTTTGCTGGATGAGGGCCTCTTCTAGGAATAAAACTATCAAAGACTTGTGGCATGAGAAAATGTATAAAAAAACAAGCTGAATGCCCAAAAAGAAAGGTGGAAGAACAAAATTCAATGACTTTCAGAAATATCAGCTCTCTCTCTCCACACACACACACACATACATATTTATCTATGGAAAATGCTTGAATATATACATTATACACAACTATAACAATTACTGTACTTTGAAGGATGATAGTTTCAAACTGTCTATTCTGGGCAATGCTGTAAAACTCATATATCAATGTAAACACCTTTTTGGAAAAGCAAACAGATAAAAACAACTTGTTTATAATGTATATATTCTATTTTTAATCAGATAGGTTTCCTGTTACTGTTGAATATGGAAAGAAAAAATGGAAAATTTGTCACCCAAAGACTTTGATTGCTAGAACTGATTGTGATCGAACTCAGAGGATGAAGCTTACAATCTGATCAGAAATGGATGATTCACTTCTTTCAAAACCGATTTTTCATTGTGTACATGCTGTTCTTGTTTTAGCCGAATAACATCTGGAATGCTCATTACTTTCAACGCGAAGTAGCATTTAGCAGCTTTCTCTCTCACCAGATGAACCCGCCCAAAAGTACCTGTCCCTGAAAACCAGAGAGAGAAAGAAGTCAATCAGACGTATGGTTACATTATATAATGAAACATATATAAGAAAAAAATCAACATAAACGAACTGATAGGCATCGTACATTCTTGTATAGCTTGGGTCTCATTGATACAAAGTTCTGAACGACAACTTTTAAAAAGGAAGAGGGTAAATAGGTAGCCACATCAGCTCTGCTGGCTGACTCACTTCAACTTAAATCAAGGTAAAGGGCTATTTAATGCTCTTTTCTCTAATGTGAGTATTAACAAGGGCTGGAACTTTGAAATAACCCTTGTACATGATGAACTACCACCTGACAACCTCAAGATATTTCAGACTGTAGTGCCCATTAACTTCTAAAAGCATGACCATTCTCTGTTTTAGGTTTGGGCATGATGGTAGGAATTTTCTTCACTGGGATGGTTCTGCAAAATCACTCATATTTTTAGCAATAAAAATTCCTTTGGTAATCTATCTGCTGAGGTAATCTTCACAGGGAGTATTTATTTGCACAATGGTACATAAGTACACAATGTATTCTAGTAATGTATTTTAGAAGTTTTTTTCCTTTGTTTTATGTTACTTAAGGTCATTTCAGTGACACAGGATTTATCCTATTTTTTTCTATATTGAATAAACAGTTTAAGATGATGATTTTACTATGTAGTAACTCAGAATAGATTCATCAGATCAGATAGTGGCTAAAACCAACAGTAATGATGTTGGTGAAAATATAGATACAAACTGAGAAGAAAGCAGAATAAACTAGAAAGAAAAATATACCAGCTATAATGACTCATGTGTTTATTACTACTTGTTTGGACTTCTGCAATGTACTGCACATGGGACTGGAGTTGGTTCAAAATGCTGTGACCTGTCTATTGATTGGTGCTCATTGATATTACACCCATTTTGCAGATCCTATGTTTGTTACCAACAGGTTTCTGGGTGCAATTCAAAGCCCTAATTCTGGTTTACAAAGCCCTATGTGATTTAGTGCCAGGGAACTCATATTATCACCTTTTTCGACTTTGGTCAGTCCATTCTGTATGAAGCTGTTCATAGTGATCATTTTTGTGAGATAAAGGGAGCTGTTACCAAAAAGATGTATTTTTCTGTCAGCTCCAATTTTTTTGGAACAGCCTACCCCAGAAACTAGATTGGCCCTGAGTGATGGTATTCCAGAAGTCAGTCAAAACAGAATAGTTTTGGAGGGCCTTCGGGGTTGAATGTTTACCATCTGTCACTGTGCTTGGCCTGTGGAAAAGCTTGCCCTCTGAGATCCAGATAGCCCTGATGCTGCCAGTAAGCTTCCATGGCTGCATGTGAAGTAGAAACTGAGCTTTCCACCTCCAGTCCCACACCTTCACCACTAAAATTGATCATTTTTATTGTTTGGTTTAGCAGTTATCAAAGTTGTATCTCTGCCTAACTGTGAGAGAACTTGACACCAGAAACTTGTAAAAATACTTGATTACCATTCACATCTGGTAGTAGTAAGAGGGGGGACATAATGTCCGAGTATCTGCACTTTGCAGCACAATGGAACAGCACACACATATGGCAATAAATCTTTAATTGAGAAATTTAATTAGGCCCAATTTTGTATATCTAATATAAATACAATATGTCCATACGTTCCATTTTTCTTGGTGGAAAGGCAACTTCAGTAATCTAGCTAATTTTTTAATTTGTCAACATTCTTGTATACATATATCCATAAATACCTGTCACATTATTCCCTTTTAGAGTAAGTTAATGTATACAAAATAGGAAAAAAACAGTCACAGTAGTAAGCAAAGGAACTGCAGTCAGTGAAAAAGAAAAGAAAAATAAATCTAACTAAACCTCATTTGCATCAATACCTTTGACTATAGCCTTTTCTACTTTTCTGTTCTTCACATCTAAATTGTCTTTTCTTTCTTAAATTTGCCATTTTTTCTGAAGATCTCAAGTCCATTCAACATCTTTCTGGGTCTTCCCTTTCCTCTCAGCTGATTCACTCTTCCTTCTTATATTTTATTATGATTTGATCTTCATTCTCATATATTCAAAACACCTCAACTTATTTCTTTCGCATTGGTCATTCAGTTTGTTTGCAACCTAGGATTTGCAGCAAATCATTTGAGTTCTCAGCCAACAACATGAAATTGTATGTGTAAGTACACAAACTCACATCTAATACACCACTAATATCAAAACAAATTTATTAAACAAATAAGGGGATATTATCATCTTTGTCTCTTGCTCCCTGCTCAGTGTTCAACCATTTGTTACACATTCCATATCTGCATACCTTTTACTTCCATCATATTCCATTCTTACTACATTTAGCAACAAATCCCCGACTTCATATTAAAAAAAAAATCCATTCTTTAAGCCTATTTACTTTATCATACACTTTTTATAAATCACAAATATATATATATGAACTTTCTTTCCTGCTAATTTGAAAGAATGAATAAATGGTACCAATAAACTACAAGAGTTTTTAAAATGCTAAGACAGTTCTGTATAGATCATTTGGTAACTGAGAACATGGCACAAACTATCGTACTATTGCTGTTTGTTCATTAAATTTATACCCCATTTCCCCCCCCAAAACAGCACAGTTTGTTTAGTTTCCAGATTTTAAACTCACACCAATTCAAAGTATTATTTTTTTATCCACAAATAGTAAAAGCCTTTTAATACAGATTTTTTTGAAAGTTACTATGTCAAACACACAATTTAAGTCAGTGATTATAATCATTCGACATATATCCTGTCCTCTAGAATGAGGTACAGTGGTACCTCAGGATACGAACTTAATGCGTTCCGTGACTCTGGGCGTATCCCGAGTTGGTCATAACCCGACACACGGCGCGGCGGGAGAACAGCCGGGCATGGCGTGGCGGGAGAATGGCCGGGTGCTCGCGGCGCGGCGGAAAAATGGCCGGGGACCACGTGTCAGGGCGGAAAAATGGCCGTAACCCGAGGCGGAGTTCGCACATCGAGGTAAATTTTGGCAGCTGGAGCTGGTTGTAACCCGAAAAGTTTGTTAGTAGAGGCGTTCATATCCCAAGGTACCACTGTATATCAAATTAATATGTATAGAAGCGGAGGACAAACTCTTCCCTGAAGCAAATGCATAAAGGATAAAAAAGGGCAAACTCATATTCTACTTCACCTATGCATGAATTTGTAAGCTATTCTCTTCAAAAGATATTAAATAAATTCATATGATAGAAGAGTTACCTCTACATTATAGCAAATTACTATAGCAGAAAGTCCAGGGATTTTAAATAAACATAATTACAATATAAATTCCTATATGAAGCTTTACTAAAGAGGTTCTTAACTCATCCATAAATTAACAGAGACAGTCTCATATGAGCAAAGACATAAAAAAATCAAAAGCCTTCTAAGTGCAAACTGAACTGACAGCCATTTCTTATCTTACACTGCTTGAATTACAGTGCTTTGATGTAAACATAGAAATTGTAAACAGTTTCTAGAAAATGCCTATTAACCTACTCAACCATGCCATTTAACCACCTTGGGAAATTTTACATGTGATTAAATCCCTTAACACTATTGTTACATTGCATAACATACTAGTAAACAACCTTGTTTTCACGGTGGGCTTGCAAAGCGATACTATTTTGATTAATGTAATAACTCTGTAGTTTAACTGGAACATAATCTATACAATTCTAAATCATGATGATGATGATGGAATAATGCTTTTGATATTTTTCTTATTTTGTTTTAAGATTATTGTACTACCATAGTATTTGTATTTTGCTTCTTGTGAGCTACTTGGAATCAAAATGACTGAAACAGCATAAAAGCCTTTGTAATAAAATGAATGCAACATGTATAACACCGCAGGAGTCAAGA